GTGCACTTGTATGGCTTCCTCGCCTTTCCGCCAACCTCACCATGGGATCTGATGCGTCGTTTCCTTGGACGACCTGTTTACAGCTGACCTTAGTATCTGGGGAGATACTAAGGTCAGCTGTAAACAAATCGTCCTCAGGGATCTCTAGTGTCCCGAGATTTTCTTGGTACGATGCTACTGTGTAGCATTCACCCATCAACTCATACGCCGACTCTACCATGTTGCACTCGAGAGGAGTCGCAATTGGATGGTGACACGCAATTCGATGTTGAGTCTGCGTTAAGCATGAACACGTCGATGATGTCAAGTCAACGCGACGCTGCTTCATCGAATTACTGATTCTGGCAGTGAATGCAACGTCATCTGAACTAAATGTCACCATGTAGTTCGCTGTATCTCCGAGTTGAGCTTGAAAATTACGTTCTGCACGCGGCGTCGGCTTACGCTCCGCATTCACCCACAACTGACCTAGTCGGAATCGGTTGTACGCCTCACCCATGAAAATTGTCAGATATGATTTGAAAAACTCGTATGGTTGCATTTTCCGTGGCTTAAGGCGAAGACTCTTCGCTTGTTCGCTTTCCACGAAGTTCGTCGTCCGCCAGCCATACAAGGGTGTAGTGTTGACATGGGGGTGAAGTGTCCGCTTGCTTGCAGGTATATCAGTAAGATAAATTGTAGCTGCGGGGTTTACAGCATTGAGCTTTTCGAAAGCGACATGAGACACAGCTGTGTTCGCCTCCAACACAAATTGCTCTTGAGTCACGGTTAGTCTGACTGTCTCATCAGTTCTCATATACCATATGGAGAAATAATCCATGTGAGTACTAGCGAAACATGTACTCTAGACCACGTACCGAAAAATGAGACGAACACAAAACATATTGAAGATCCCGAGTGATTCCGCGACCGACACCAGACTGACGTTGCGATTGCTAAAGACTGGGCATGCAGTCAGTGGAAAGCCATGGTGTAGAATTTTACTGGGGAACCACAGGTAGTTGTCATAGTCTTCGACTGGAGCTAGTGCCACAGCAACAATCTTGTTGGTAAGATTACCATCGCGACCGACCATCACGATCTGAACACTTTTGTATTTGCGGTGTTTATGTGCGCTACATCCACTCTGTAAGCACCAGGGCCACTGGTGAACCATGAGGGAATGTGGTAAATAATCGCACGTCGGAATCGCCCGCGTTCGTCACATGAACCTCCGTCAACACTCCAGTATTCAGACGCTGAAATTCCGCCAACAGACTGGGCAAGAGGCGAATATTCAGCGAGTCTCCATCGTGAAGCTCTGCCATCACAAAGTCCTTGGCGCGATACATCACGTGCTGTGACGCTGTTACCTTCTTTTGGTGACGAAGCTGTGCGACGAGAGCGTTAATTGATGTAGCTGGGTTAGCTGCAAGTGCACCACGGACCACAGGGTTGTTCACTAACTGGATTCGCAATGGCTTAGCCAAACTAACACAGTTTTGGTGATCGAGGTTGCCTCCCGTCACATGCCAGTCTCCTTGGTGATTCCTGGATCGAAATCGTGCTAGACGAACGTGCCACTCACAACCAATAGTTGCACTGTCACATTGTAATAAACGAAACGTCCTCCCTCTGTTGATGACGATTGCACACTTTCCTTTTGCTAGTGCGACATCTTTGATTGCTCGCACAGCCTCCTTGCCGTTAGTCAATCTCTTCTGCTTGAGTTCCTCCATCTCCATGGCACACGCCTTCAATGTAACGGTGAACCAATGACTACACTCGGTAATTTTACCAGGTCTCATATTTTC